CAATTTTGAGATAGCTATGAGGTACAAAATGTACTATTTGTAGATCAGTGATGCCGAAGCTGTTCATCAACTAACGTTGATCAATCTATTTTTTTCTATCTAAAAGTACGTGCTTTCAAAAAAAATTTAAGCCCCAGTAAGTTAAAAACAGTGTACCTACGTCTAAGTAACATGTGGGATAAAATCGCATGAAACGTCTTTTTTCAAACTTAAGGAGTTTTTAACTACAAATCAGTGGGGCTAAAATATGTGCATCTCAATTGATTTTTTGTTCAGAATGTGCTAAAGAATTGAAATAAACGTTTTGTTCATCGAAATTATGGTTTCATAATTTATTTATAAAATTCGTTAAGTGTTGAGCAGACAAAACTACATTAAAATAATCTTTGTAAGTAAGAGCGGCGTTGGCTCAGTGGTAAGCGTGCTTGTTACTGATACAACGCTGTTCTAGGGGTCGTGGGTTCGATTCTCGGTGAATGTAGATTTTTTCAAAAACTGTTTTTCATCGGAAAAAGTTCCTATGTAACCCCGGCTGTTTCGAGACGGGTGTTTTCGTGAAATTTTTCTTCAGAGTAATTTCAGGGTTTTTTCCTTGCCCCACAAGTCTTCAGGCCTGTGTGAATGCGAAACAGTGTTAGGGCTATTGGTAAGGATGAGCGGATCCGAAGCTCCAGGCAGGGATCGACCGGACTCACCGGCGAGTAGTGATCCCTGAAATATGGATGCTAATTAGCCTGGATCCGATGCTTTGGCAGAGAGCGCTGACTTCACCTGCAAGGAGTGGACGTTCTGAAATACGGAGTTCCCTCCGGGGAAAGGCTACACCGTGGTGAGTAGAATCGATGCACCATTGGTGCAGAAAGTTCCAGCTTAACTGGCTCGGTGTTTCACCGGAGATAACCTACGGGGCCCATAGTATGACATACGTGTGGTATCAGGTAGTGGTAAATGGGTACGACAATACATCCCCACACATAGGTGAGTGGGTGGCCCCGGCGACTAGGTCTAAGAGCTGTGGCGGTAACCCAAAGAAAAAAAATCTTCGTAAGTCATAATTAACTTATTCGTAAATACTGTTTTATGAAAATTAAATTATAGTGTCACTTTTGTATGTGCTAATCACGAGCTATAATTAAATAATTTGTTAAATTTTCCGTGTACTTTTAGCTTTCATTTTTTCCTGCTCTTATCTTTCATAACTTTTTCAAACTTGCTGTCTGTATTGTGACCTTGGTGTGTAGTAATTAAGTTCTAACACCCTCCTAAAATAATCGACTTAGTTTATTTTTATTCATTCATTTTCTGCTGTTCGAAAATTTACTGTCTATAACTTATTGTACCACCCACCAAGTATTTAAAAAGCATTTTTCTTTAACCAAAGTCATTCTGATACTTTCTCTTAAACTCTTCTACCCAAATTATCCTTTCCTTATACTTAATAATGTGGCCTTTTTAATTTTCTCGTGTAATGAAAGTATAATCCAAATATTGGAATTCATCATACTCTTCAATTCTTTCCTTACCACATCAAACTTTTTCCTTGAAATGAGTATCATTATTAAACTTGACACGCTTATTTTTTTACAACTCCTTGGATTTTTTGCGATGATGTCTCGGCATTTAGGGCTTCTTTTCTAATGTAAAACAATACCCACCCAGCTTATTGGTAAATTCACGATTAGCTTTCAAAAGATCAGTAAGACAAGTTCAATGGTTTATTGAGGTCTTTTTATTAACTCTCATTACCGCCACCTCACGTTTCAGGCGATCATTTAGCCCTGTAAAATAGTATGCAGTAGGGAAGGATGACTAATTGCAAGTCGTCTGAAAAAGACTTTGGAAGGGCCCCGCACTAAAGACTAATTTTTTAGGAAAAAGAAGATACGTAAGGTAAAAATGTGGTAATATGGGAGCGAACAAAGATTAAGAAAACGTAAAAACCCTGTTGGTCTAAAGGAGGCTTGATAGTTTTAAAACGTTCTGTGTTGTCAGCATGGAGAAGAATGTTGCTATGGAATAAAATTGAAAAGATACTGTTGGTTAATAAAATAAAGAGTATCGGACTAATGTGCGACTCTTGTGGTTCACCAAAAGGCCCGAAAAAAAGACGTAACATTGCCCTGTAATCTTTAACCATTTGAGATCTGTTGCTCAACTAGGATGCTAGCCAAGACAACATGGTATCACGAATATCATGTTAGTTATTTTACTGAGTAGTCCATTATGATTCAGTGAATCAAAGACTTAAGAAAAGTCCATATAGATTGTCTTAACTTACATCCTCTTAATTAAGTTTAAAGTGAAAAAGTAGAAGAATAAAAAATTAGTCAAAGTAGACGCATAGGGAATAAAGTGTTGTTCAAAAAAATGTGTGTTAACAGAGAATCAGCTCATTTGCAGGCAGCAATAGCATCCATAAATTTAGCAAAAGGAGATAGAGTTAAAATAAACCTATAATTTGCAGTATCTTGTCAGTCACTAGATTTATGTTTTGGAGTTAGTAAGAAATTTTCCTTCTGGAAAGAAAAGTACCAATATTCAATGATTTGTTAAAGAGAGGTAGTAATGGTAGAAAGAGAGACTGAGTAGAGTTTTTAATAAAAGCAGGAGGTAAAAAATAAAGTCCACGTATCATATTAAACTTGGACTCATTGCCAGCAGATAAAATTTCATAAAACGAAATCATTAAACAAAATAGTATTTCTACAGAGTTAGGTCAAGACGAACACCAGGAACCGAACAAGTGCCATGGTATTGACTAAAATTAAGTGCAAGCAGGTTAGAAGTTTGATTAGAATTTGAGACAGTTAAATTACGAAAATGCATGTTGTTTAGCAGTTCAGAGGGTGTAAAATTATTTATAAATGAAAAAAATTACTGAGGGTTGGAAAAACCGTTATTTTTAACGTTAAATACGTAATCACCAAAACACTGTTGAGACATTTGGATGCAGAGATGCTGAGAGCACGCTTTTTAGTTAAAATAAGGTCTTTCAGTTCTTGACTGTACCATGAAATTTTTAGTTTCTTAATAGGAGGTCTAGGGTGTAACCTTTAGTTGGATTCAGTGGATAGCATTGCTTGAGATCATAAGTTTAACCACTTTCAGTCATAATTCAGGCAGCATCTTCAAACTTCTTGGGGATGTAACAGAGTTTGCTGAATTCTAAAGGAGGTTTAGAATCTCAAAGGATGTTAGACAAATTAAAGTCACTGAACAGGGCGACTTTTGCGCTAAGATATTGTAAGTAGAAACTCTTTGCTTTATAAGTAAGTGAGAGGTAAGGTTGGCTAGTTGCTTGTCACTGAGGTGCCACTAAGTAAGGGTTCGTTATGCACTTAGGTGATAACGAAGAATTGTTTAGGTGTGTTGATTTCTAGTTTATTTGGAAATCTTAATGCTTTCAGGTTGTTCTTGATGGCGATCAGGATTCCACCTTCAGTGGTATGGGTGCTGCTGATAAGAGTACGGTCTTATCAAAGTACACTATAACGGGGATAATCAAGCTTGCTATCACCGGTATCTTAATACAGCTACGTTTTAGTACACCAAAAATAAAGAAACTGAAATAAAAAAAAAAAAATACGAGATAGCCATTATGTGTGCACTGTGTTTAATAAACATTGTATAAATTAAAAGAAGCCACAAACTAAAAAAACAAGCATGTAATCAAATTATGTTTCCTCATTAATTTATTTTTTATGTGTTGTTGTTCTCCCTACTCCGAAAATTTAAATTGACCAATATATTTGCGATGACCCATCAGTTAGTAAAAAAGTTAAAACAATAATCTTTAAAAAATACTTTATTCAAACCATTTTTAAATAAATAATACTTTTTGGGTGTGATTTCTTTACAAAATTACATTAAAGGGTATTTAATATCTTAAACTAAATCCATTAAAATAAATTGCTTAATTCAGATAGGACGGAATCAGCAATTAGTTGGAGGCAAATTAGAAAGTAAATTATACATTATTTTCTTTGTTTGGTGTTCTCTATTTTAAAACGTTTCGTTGGTTGTTATGCCAACCTCATCAGACTACAAATACGTATTACATATAACGTATTTAAGTATACAATTTTTTCACTACACGTGGTTACAAAACTGACAAAACAACTAGATAAATTAGTTTTTACTGTTTTTTGTGTAACCAAAAAAAGCTCATTTCAGCAATGATACGTATAAAACCCGATGGACACAGTATCAACAAGAAAGAAGACACACACTTGCTCATTTGTATATATTTTCTATTACTTAAAAAGTTCAATCACCCGTAACCATTTTTTCTTCAAAATAGTATATGTCCTATAATATCTGTTTTGATGGCTCCGGTCCTTGGCCTTTCGTACATACATTTCGCTGTTCGATCTTAGTACTTTACTGTTTGTCGACGCGTGAGCACACAATTTTCACAATTAATATATATAAATACATTTTGTATAATTTTTACTGTACAATGTCTTTGTCAAACTCAAATACTTGCGAATAATAAGGTTAAAACTAATTTATCTAGTTGTTTTGTCAGTTTTGTAACCAGGTGTAGTGAAAAAATTTTGTGCTTACATACATTATATGTTATATGTATTTGTAGCCTGATGAGATTGGCACAACAGCTAACGTAACGTTGCAAAATAAAGAACACCAAACAAAGACAATAATGTATAATTTAGTTTCTAACTTGCCTCCAACTGATTGCTGATTCCATCCTATCTGTATTCAATACTGGAAGGCGCTGGTGTATTCGATTGTATTAAAATTTCTTAATTAACCGTACGTTATAAACTGAGTCTGATTTAATTACTTGGGATTTATCAATTAAGTTTCATTTACTTCCGAGCTATATCGGTATTTTACGTTACACTATAAATAAGTCAAAATCAATTAAAAATGCATTTGTATCTAAAGACCTAACTAATTTAAAGCGTCAAAATTTTTTTGGTGTGAGATTAGAAGATTGTGCAATAAGTATAATTAAAACAGAAAAATTCTTATCTTAGGTTACCAGTGGTTCTCTCCATAAAAAAGACGATGTCATACAAGTTTCGAACGAGCCTTTATCCAACACATGTCAAACAATTGATAAAACGTCATCAACCGTTCGTGTTGAATCTATTCAAGAACAAGAACAGGAACCCGCTGATGTTGATAATTTAAATATTGGGTTGGCTTCTGAAGGTAACTGCTGTAGTTTTTCATTTTGTTTCATTTATACGTACTAAATAACTTATAACGTCTTTTTACATAGAAAGTAGCACAGTAGGTGAAGAAAAATTAAGACAAGAAGTCATAGTATCAGTAGATGAGGAAGACGATGTCACAGATATAGATACAGATACTATTCAAGAAACAACTGAAGAAGCAATAAATGAGGATAATACAAAAGAAACGAGTCAAGAATCTGAAGCATCGCCTTCTAGTAATACTCGTCAAAGAACTGCAGCTTCTGTTGGTGGAATAATATCGTCAGTGCGAGGAGCGACAGCTAGAAGGTCTACGAGAACTACTTTTCGTACATCACGAGGCACACGACTTACCCCTATTATTTGGGATAATCAAACATCTTCACGAGGTAACAGCCACGTTAAAATAGTAAACAATTTTTCGTTTTTTAACATTCTTCCTTTCTATAAACTAAGTATTCATACAAATTGACAACTTTTACAAATGAGTGTAAGTAAAATGAGCCAATATTAAGGTTCATTACATGACTCACAATGCATCTTCCAAGCAACGAGAAATATTAATTATTTAATTATCTTGAACGTAAGAAATCAAAAAAAAAAATATCTACTAGTATAACACATATTTATGTTGAAAATTATGACTGTGGTAAGTCGAGTATAAAAATTCTTTTTTAGATTTTGACGAGCGTGTAATACTTGAAAAAACGCTTTTTTATTTGAAAAGTAAATTCTCATGTGAGTATGCATATGGGAACGCATGTACAATCGTAATAAGTTGTATTTAAGAACTCTTGTGATCTAATTTAACAGTTTAAAGCTGAAATATTTTATTTTTGCTTTTTTATAGCTGTCATAAAATTTAATTAAATTTCTAATTTGTTGATCTTGGAATTCACTTTCTTGATTGTCTGAAGAAACAACTGCTTTTTTTAAGTTTAAAAACTTTCATTCCTAGTCTTAAATAATAATTATTTAAGAGGATTTTTCTTGATAAAGCATGTTAGTCGGCAAAAGCTTTTTAGTCCGTTAAGGATAAAATGTATTGAGCTGCTTTTAGTTTAAAAAACAATATAGTTATCATTAAAAAATTAATGCATAAGGGACTATGTAAAACATCTTGATGGAATTGTCATCCTACACCTACTACGGTTATAATTTTTTTTTTATTTAAAATGGTTGAGGTAATAAAAATTAATAAAAGTTTCATTTTTTTATAAAAAATATTTCGTTTAGAATTCGAAAAATATGACAATAAATTAATAAGCTAAAAATTTTGCAAGTATGCTTGTTTTTTGTAATGCATGTAAAAATGTACAATATCTAGACATCTGCAAAAAGAATTAAATATACATCATCATTTTTGTCATTTAAAATATATAAGCAACATTCATTTTCGCTTCTCTTAAAATTAAAACTTTTGAAATAAGTATCAAAACACTCATACCAAGCTCTTGGGCTTTCTCTTAATCCATACAACTCTTTATCTAACTTTAATACCTTACTAGAGCCATCATCATAGCCTTGTGGCTGTTTTACATATACTTCAAATTTGACTTTATTGTTCAAAAATGCTGTGTCAACATCCATTTGTTGAACAGTTAAATCATTTTGACAACAATAAGAAAGTAACATTCTGAAAGCTTACATTTTTGAAACTGGTAAATAAATATCATCAATCAAATCATTTTGCTGGTATCCTCTTACTACTAACCTAGCTTTCAAAGCATTGTTAGCCTTTTTAGTATAAACTTATTTCAATCTAAAGTTTTTTATTTATTCGGTTTATTTACAGAAATCAAGTTTTACTTTTTTAAACAATCGATTTCTCTATTCATCGCCTTTTTCCAATTTTTAGAATCATTACTGTTCATTGCATCATTATAAGAAACAGGTATTTCAGCGTTTGTATAATTTATACGAATAATATTACTATATACAAAATTTTTATCTCTGTACCTATTAGGCTCTATTCTTTCCCTAGGTGACCGTCTTAAATTAAAATTTTTATTTTAATCCTTGCTGTTTGTATTTCAATCGCTATTTTTGCTTCCAACATTGTTTTCATTTAAACTAATTTTCACTATGTCATTTTCTGATTCTAAACCAATACAATTTGTTCCATCTTTGATAGTATCAACATGTCTTGCAACTAATATTTTATTATTAATCAGAACTGTATAACCAACATTTTCATGAACTAACAAAATTCTTAAATCTGATTTTTTGTCCCATTTTGAATTTCTTTTTCCCTCTGGTATCCTCACAAAAACTCTACTTCGATAAATATTTAAAGTTTTTATACTAGGCTTTTCCCCAAACACAATTTTAGAAGGTGTTTTATTTTTTCAAACAGTATTAGTGATAATTCTATTCTTTAAGTAAGCTGCTGTTTTAAAAATTTCTGGCTTATATTTATGGTGATGAACCCTTGCTTCTTTTAATAAACATCTTGACATATCTATAATACCCCTGTTACATTTTTCTGCCATTCTATTTAATTCATGTACATAACGTGGACACGGTTTCATAGATATACCTTTCTCGCTGGAAAAATTACTTTTATCCTTGTTTATATATTCCTTTCTATTATCACATCACATCTTTATCTTTTTATTTTTTTTTTTCTGTCTTACTTTCAATTAAATTTACATAGTTAACAAAACAATTATACACTTAATCTTTCGCTTTAATACAATACACTTTAGCTACTTTACTGGTTTTACTGGTATCATCGATAAAACTCAGAAAATATTTCTTGCCATTTAAACCAGTACTACCATGAGTTCCATTTAAATCGATATGTATAATTTCGAAAATATCTTTGGCCCTTGATCTGTCATTATTAAATGGTAAATTATTCATTTCATTTTCCAAACAAATCCCACATTTTAAATAATCAGTTTCTAATTCCCTGAGAAAACTAACAAGCATTTGTTGATCACACATTGTTTTCAAATAATTAAAATTAACGTGACCTAGTGTTCTATGCAATTTTTCCTTTTCTGCTAACTTATTCTTTTCCATTGAGTTTGATTCGCTATACATAATTTTACTTGTCATATGATAAATATCATTATTTTTATGAACCAATGCAATTAAATTTTCCATTTTGATCTAAAATCTTTGACATATTTTCTACTGATACAATCTTATTTGCTTTTGTCACTTTACCATAACTTATTGAATTTCTATCCATATCTCTAACAAAGAAAACATTGTTCATTATATTCATTTTACTTGACCATAAACATTAATTTTGTGCCTAATATAACCAACTTTTGTTGCTTTTAAAGAACTACCATCACCTACTTTAACATTTATAGGCTCCTTCAATTTAATAAATTCAGAAAAATATCGATCATCTTTTACAACATGATCTAAGCAACTGCTATCGAGTAACCATTCAGCCTCACTAGCACAGCAGTTAACTTCAACACGCGACTCATTAGGTCTTTCCTCGAATTCCGCATTAAAACAACTTACATTACCGTCTTTGTTTTGATGTCCTTCATTATTTTGCTGTCAATCGCCTCCTCTACGATTTTTATTAGAGCCTCTACCAGCTCTACAACCTCGGCTTTGGCTGCTGCGATGTTGCCACTGCTGTTGTTGTTGTCGCCCGCCTCGTTGCTGCTACGCACCACCTTGCTCCCATGAATTATCGCTGTGTCTCGTTCTCGTACATTGTGCCTTTAAGTATCCATATTTTCCGCACTTTAAACATGCTACATCTTTTTTTCTTTCAGTTTTAAACGCACTTGGACTGTTTTTTTCTCCTATCTTTTTTTTCTTTTATTTAACTTTTTACGTATTCAACTGTTTAATAAGATTCTTTCAAAACATCGATATAATCACTAATATAACTTGATGAACTTTAAAGCATTTTAATCATGTAGCTCAATTTTTCTTTTCAGTCACATTTGCACTAGCACTTTTCAATTAATTAATTAATATTTTATACTCAGTGAAAAACGCACTCGAATTTCAAAAGTCTTTTAACTTTAATTTTTTCTAACTTGTTTCTTACACAAATTTGCAGTGCAGTAGACTCCTTAATATATATTTTATTAAATTTCTTTATTGTTTCGTACGCTGTTTGATCGCCTCAAGTCCCTTTCGATCCACTCTTTTTCTTTTTTCGTCCTTGTCATGGCTCTCATTGCTACTACGTCGCATTTTTTCAGTTTAAAAATCATTGTGATTCTCTTTTTTTAACACTCGAAATATTTTCCATCAAATACCGGAATTGTCACTTCATCCACCATTTTGTTTTCTTCTTCTCTGTCCGAATCTTCTAGAATTTTTTTTATTATAAGTACTTTTCTTGTTATTTCCACAAAATTTTTCCTTAAATTCTTAGTTAGTGTTGGATTAACAGTATCTTTTAATTTCATAAGTGTTGGATTGACGCTTTCACTAGAACCCGTAGTAGTTGATTATCACAAACCGCCGAAGCAACACGTAAAAAAAAAAGAAAAAAAAAAATACTAACCACGGACTTGGCTACCATGTTAAATAAATATACTATAAGGTAGTGGATCAATAACATAACACTTGTTAACACTTAAATTAATATATTTAACAATAGAAATAAAGATTTATCAGGATTACAAGATCTCCTCTCTTGGTACTGAGAGAGACTCTACGAGAGCGTGCGTGCACGGCAACGGCCATGTTCTGTCTATCTTAACTGCATTACTGTACAAACTACAGGGCACACACACACATATAATCTCGCACTCACAGTGCTCATGCCGCATAACAGTTACTACTCACGCATCTAATACAAATTTACTTATGATTCAACAAGAATGATGTTTGTATGGAAATTAAGAGAGAAGCAGAGACATAAGAAAGCTTGCAATAGAAAAAACAGAGTAAGATAAAGAGAGTCAGGGATATAGTTTAAGTGAGTATGACACAGAATGTAATTAGAGAAAGAGGGGAAAAGGAAAGAGTAGGGCAGAGCTAACTTGAGGAAGAAAAGAAAATATGAGAGACAATGAGAAATCAAAAGACGTTAAACTATACACATACATTGACTTTAATGGCAAACTTTATCGTGATCACACAGGGCTGCTATTATCGGCGTGCTACAAGATTCAACCCTCTACCACTTTCTCAGTGGCTAACGATTTTTAGTCGTTTTTGGCTGAACAAAGAAGTTTTATGTCAATAAATTGGCAGCGATTTACTGAAGTTATTCTCCTATAGAAGCGTTCTGCCCTACAGAGTAAATAAACGATTTCAGTTTAGTGACCTAGAGAAAAAGTGTGACGGAAGTGGATTTTGCTTGATTCTCCCCCTTCGTCCCGCCCCTCTTGACGTACTTCCAGTCCCCCTACCCTACCCAACATCATCGCACCACACCACACCACACATTTTG